AGGAACGGACAGGAACGGAGTTCCGGCTGTCTCCCAAGTTGGCTGCGCCCAGCAGGAACTCATTAGCATAATAGGCCACACCCAACAGCAGAAACTCATTAGGATTGGCTACATTAGGGGTGTGTGGCCTAACATGCAAATCAGTTCCTGCTACAAAAAAAGGCCCTGGGTTTTGACTACAAATAAGGTAAACAGAATAAGAAGGGAAAGGTGGGTGTGGCTGGATGACCACACTTCTGGTAACATGGGGGTGCGTCCTAATGTGTTAATGAGCTGTGCTGTCAGGGGTGTGGCCTAATAGGCTAATGAGTTCCTGCTGTTGGGTGTGGCCTATTATGCTAATGAGTTCCTGCTGGGCTTTTTCTACAAAAAGAGCCCTGCCTCTCGCCATAGTGGGGGGCCTGGCAGCCCTCTGTCCCCTTTTCTTCCTGCTCTGCTTACTGATCCTGCTCTGATTGACTATTGCCTCCCACGCGGGACCTGGAGATTCCCCCGGAATTGCAGCTCATCTCCAGACTGCAGAGGTCAGTTTCCCTGGAGAAAATGGATGCTTTGGGGGGTGGGCCCTATGGCACTGTGCCCCACTGAGGTTCCTCTCCTCCCCAGGCTCCACCCCCAAATCCCTAACCAGAATCTGGCCACCCTATCCCCCCATCCCCTGCTGGTGACGTGTGGTGGCCGGGGGGGGGGGACAACCTGGCATCCCTCCCTCTGTCGGGTCTCCCAGTCAAGACACTCTCCAGAAGACACTTTAGCAGTGATAGTTTATTGAGATACGCTCACTGCAGGAAACATACTCTGTGTCAGAACTGGGAAAAGGCGGGCAGAAGCCCCTATTATAGCTGATTCTGAATACACCCCAGACCTCTTGCATGCATCACCATCCAGCCTCTACAGTAACTATGGCAACCCTGACAGATATATGGTGCCGTGTCTACATCCTAGCCTGGCAGAAGAGACTCCAAGGCCAGCTCCCTTGGGAACTAGCTCTGGGGCACAGCTGGAGGAAAAGTGATGGCTTCTAAGCATCCACTCAAAACACCCATGTGCTCCTCTCCGGAATTCCCTCCCCACCATAAGAACATAAGAGACGCCAATGTTGGATCAGGCCAAAGGCCCATCTAGTCCAACACTCTGTCACACAGTGGCCAAAAATACCAGATGCCATCAGGAGGTCCACCAGTGGGGCCAGGACATTAGAAGCCCTCCCACTGTTGGCCCCCCCAAGCACCAAGAAGACAGAGCATCCCTTGCCCCAGATCCCCTATCTATACCTTGTGGCTAATAGCCACTGATGGACCTCTGCTCCATATGCATATCTAATTCCCTTTTGAAGCCGTCCATGCTTGTAGCCGCCACCACCTCCTGTGGCAGTGAATTCCATGTGTGGAGATCCATGTATCTATGTCAAGCGGTTGTCAGGACCCACAGCAAGACAACAAAGTACACACTTCCAAGAAGGTTTTACTTTTATTGAATAGCCATAGATGCAATAACATAAACACTGTTAGGAATGGCGGGCTACCTAGGCGCATAATAGGATATAGGGCATTCGTATGCGCCACCCCCCCAGCAATACCCAATTGAACGAGGTGAACCTCCCACTGTAATGTCATATGCCTTGACCTGGATAGCCCAGGCTAGCCTGATCTCATCAGATCTCAGGAGCTAAGAAGAGTCATCCCTGGTCAGTATTTGAGTGGGAGACCGCCAAGGAATACCAGGGTCATTACGCAGAGGCAGGCAATGGCAAACCACCTCTGTCTGTCTCTTGCCTTGAAAAGAAGAAGAGAAGAAGAGATTGGATTTATACCCCGCCCTTCACTACCCAAGGGAGTCTCAGAGCGGCTTACAGACTCCTTTCCCTTGCCCTCCCCACGACAGACACCCTGGGAGGTAAGTGGGGTTGAGAGAGCTCTTCTGAGAACTGCCCTTTCAAGAACAGCTCTTATCAGAACTACGGCTTGCCCAAGGTCGTCCAGCCAGGTGCAAGTGGAGGAGTGGGGAATCAAACCCGGTTCTCCCAGATTAGAGTCCGCGCACTCAACCACTACACCAAACTGGCTCTCCAAAACCCTGCAAGGTTGGCCAAAGTCAGTTGCCACTTAACAGCCAACCCCCCCCCACACACACACTCAAAACCTTCATATAGTTCTTCTGACTGGTGCTTCCAAATCATTATGCAAACCGCCAATGAATTGCCGTCATCTCTGGGTCCATGAATGGCAAGCCGCTAATGGACAATGAACGGGAGAGTAATGCGTGATCGATATCTGGCCTGCCTGTGTGATGGCTTATTAAACTGTTTCTTTGTGTGTGTGTGTGTTTGTTTTTTTAAGGAGAGCGGCTGGATCAAAAGAACCAATTAAAGCGCAATACAATTATTGGACTGTCTGGAACTGACGGGCTGTCCAATATTGAAACCTTTTCACCTGCTGGGATCTATATCCAGGCTCCTGATAATTTGATAGAGGTAAGGCTTAACACCTCGATGCATGTTAAAGAGCAAAAAGGGATTTGGGATGTCAGGGGCCGAATTGACAGCGCTGAGTCTTGGAAGTGCTGATGGCATCGGTATTAGCAAACAAACAAAAAAGCATATGCGGCGGGTTGGGGTGGGACGGAAACGCTGCTCTGGTATCAAAGATAGAGTACCAAAGTAATTAAAAATGTGTTTCTTTAAAACCCAGTGTTTAAAACCCTCACTTCCTTTTCGAGGACGTTTGGCTTTTCAAGGCAATGCTTCAGCAAAAGTCAAAAATTACTTCGCAATTCATCAACCAAATATAAAGTTCTACCATCCTAGAAAAGAGCAAGGGTCCAGGAGCACCTTAAAGACTAACACAATCTGGGGCAGGGTAGGAGATTTCAAGAGTTGTTGCTCACCTAGAATCACAGAATCCTAAGGCCATCTAGTCCAACCCCCTGCTCAATGCAGGATCAGCCTAGAGCATTCCTGACAAGTATCTGTCCAGCCACCATTTAAAGACGGCCAGCGAGGGGGAGCTCACCACCTCCCTAGGCAGCCCATTCCACTATTGCACAACTCTGACTGTAAAGACGTTTTTCCTAATATCCAGCTGGTACATTCCCACCTTAAATTCAAACCCATTCTCATGAGTCTTATCCTCTGCTGCCCAACAAGACCAGCTCCCTGCCCTCCTCTAAGTGACAGCCCTTCATATACTTCAAGAGAGCCATCCTGTCCCCCCCTCAGCCTCCTCTTCTCCAGACTGAACATCCCCAAGTCCCTCAGCCTTTCCTCACAGGGTTTGGTCTCCAGGCCCCTGATCCTCCTCGTCGCTCTCCTCTGCACTCGCTCCGTTCTGTCCACATCCTTTTTGAAGGGAGGCCTCCAGAACTGCACACAACACTCCAGGTGTGGCCTGACCAATGCATTGTACAGCGGGACTATGACATCTTGTGACTTCTTCAGATAGAGCTAGAAT